GCAAGAGGACGCTACACGCTAAATCACGAGCTAAGCTAATCAAAAAGAAGCTTAGTACGCTCTTCAATTTTCACCTGTGCGGTTTCTTTTATTCAGCGTATAATAACGCAATTAAGATTTCTTAGGGAACTGGTTCACAATGTTTAAAAGTTTCAACACATAGGATGTTCGACGTAGTTGACGCGTTACACTCGCGATAAAGCAAGCGTTAGTAAATAATCTTTCTTTTCATCGTAGGACACATTAACGGTCACCGAGCAAATTATTTGTGTTGCTATACAAAGAAAAATAAGTACAAGAAAAAAAAGAGACAACTTGAAAATAAATGGAAATTTTCAGACGGTATGCTCGTAGCAACAGATAAAAGGGGCGATGTATAGTTGAATAATGGGTTTTTGCTTGATTTTTCAATGTGACTTTTGTTTCAATAAAAGGGTTAAAATAGGCAAAAATTGTGAAATATGAGCTTGCATTACGTTAGATACCTGAAGCGACATTTCACGAGGTCCCGATTCATGATGAAGTCGTCATTAGAAAACGACATCCAGGTCCGCGAGCGGTGGTAGGTGCATCACCACCATCACGATTCTTCAAGGTTTCTTCCCAATGAGGGGTCGCTTCTGCTTGTCTTGGTAACTGTAGATTAAGCGATGGGAGTTGCCCTTCTTGTTGTTTTGTGCAGAAAACGCTGGTGCATGATATAGCAGAGTGCCCAGCTTAGTACCTTACAGACTAGCAGGCTCCTGTTCAAAACCGTGAAAAAACATTATTATCTTTTTGTGTGTGTGTGTGTGGGGGGGGGGGGGGGGGGGTTGAGGTTAAGTATGCAATTTATTAAAACTACTACTAATATTGCTTTCTTACACTGTAGTCCGAATACAAGACCGTGAAAACTCTTATTTTTATTAGATTCATAAAATATAATTCTGATCTAATTCTGATTGTAGAGTGAAGCAGGAGCGAGTCGGGAGATGGCGCCCGGCCAGTGTTCATTTATTATTTTTTATATATATTTAATGCATTGTGCCGAATTTGTAATGGTGAGACGTATTATTTTTAGAAAGCCTTCCATCATTTCTCTTCTTAATGTATACACAGCCGCATAAAACGAGAAAAAATCCCGTGACGCCGAGAGCATGTAACTCAGACGGACAAGTTTGGTCAAGGCCTCGCTATAGGGACGCGCACAGTGTAACATATGCAGCATCCGTGCTTACATAAAAATGAGACCACAACATAGAGAAACCAATCCATCACGCATTGCTGTAGCGACGCCATCGATATAACTGCGTCAAGTTGAAGACCAGATATTATCGTCAGCAGGGCCGTACCCAGAAAAAAATTTCGGGGGGGGGGGGGGGGGGGGGGGGGTTTCGGGGACAACGGCGGCCATTTTGAAAGTGTCTGTTGTCTTATTTTCGCCTATGAATCATGTGCATCGGTGGCATATAATGGAGAGTTACAGCAAACCGGAGAACCGGTCTCGGTTTGGTACCCGGTAGCCGACCGGCGCCACTGCGCGTGCGCAGAGGTGGAGATTAAAATCGGCTGGCTGCCAGTGCACCGACCAGGGCCGTACCCAGAAAAAAAATTTCGGGGGGGGGGGGGGGGGGTCAGAACCCCCTAATCCCCACCCTGGTTACGGCCCTGATCGTCAGTCTCTAATTTGACACAGTTTGGCGCGATTCCTAGAGAACTAAGGAGACTTCCTTACAGAAGATGTCACCTTTGATTATTGAGCAATCGCGGCCACGGTACTCGGGAAGAGCCCAGTGCACGGTCTTCATAGTCTTTCGCTGCTGCTTCGGATTCCTTAGACAATAAAACCGCCTAAACAGTGCACCTGTGGGCTACCGCCTCATCGGCAGCACCCGCGCGCGGGCTGCTGCTGTATTTACTCGGCCCCCTGCTCCGAATTCAAGGCTAGCCTGCCCATTTCCTGGCAGCTCGGGCAGGAGCAAAAGAGAGACGCCCACAACCGAAAGAAATAAAGAAAAAAAGAGGAGCGAGAAAGCGCGGGAGAACAAAACCAGATCGGCGGGTCATGCGCCACCTGACCCTTAATTACCCGAGAGCGTCTATACCCGCGCGCTCCGCTTGCGCCATTCGGAAGACCGCCATATTGGTCACGACTGCCCTCTGGTGTCGAGGGTGTGGCGCGAGCTCCACCATATCCATCCGACGGGTCGCCCTCACCTGCGCCGTCGTCTTTTCTCTTTTTGCGCAAGCTGGCGCTGACGGTCTTTTTTTTTATTTGTTTAGATTGCATACCTCGGTGATCTAATCTCACTGAACGCAATCATCGTTCCTTTTTCCCCCGGTCCGGAGAGCGCCGATCCGCTTTCCGTACCCGCAAAACCGGACAAACGATGAGACCATCGTCACCCTCTTCGCTCCCATTTTGCCCCCCCCCCCCCCCCCAAAAAAAAAAAAAAAAAAGTTACGCGTGGTGCGATCGGGTCATCCCAGACACGTCAACGATAGGAGGACGGTCCGGAAGACCACATGACCCTTCTCCGAGAGCGCGGGATGACCGATACGGATACTCGACGGCTCGAGGAATGCCGCCAGGCATCACCGGAATGCCTGCCGCGGCCGTCCAAACCCGTGGAGCAAAGGCGGACTTTCTCCCACCACCAAATGGTCCCGGAATGCCGAACAGAGAGGGCTGGGTCGCGCGCGGGAACCGACCTCGGACGCTCTGCCTACCGCCGTGGAATGTGCCGCAACAAAAACGCTGTTCAGAGCGGTGCGCCTCGTGCGCACTGTTGCGGGCCAGCGGCAGTCGCTGCTGCCACCGCCGCTGCGGACGCTTCACGCTGGAATGCGTAGGCGATTGGTGGTAGGCACCTGCCGCCTCCCGGTTTTTCATTGTTGTTCGAGTGCGAGCGCCGTTGGGTAATTTCTCCGTAGGGCTACCGATAAAAGTCGCGCTAATGGCCGCCGGGCACGCTCCGAGAGAGAGAGAGAGAGATGTCGGCTTCGTCCGCTGAAGAGTCACACCTGTGTGACGACGGCTGAATCAGAAATTCAGCTGAGTCAGCCGTGGCGCTTGCGCGCGCTACGGATTGTGACTTGGCGTGGGCGGCCCTCGAGAAGTCTGTCGTGCCTCGTTCCCGTCGATGATGCGTTGTCGACGTGATGTCACCCGCATTGTGCGGCGGATTCCGTGAAGAATTTCTCTTAGTCAGGCTGTTGTCTGCGCTGCGCTCAACAAGCTATTGCACCACTCTTGATGCTTCCGCTCTGTGGACGTTGGTCGTCGTCGAAGGGTTGGATCTTGACCGGAGTCACGTCGTTGTCGTCGTGCTGCCGCGGTTATGTTAAAGCTTCGCCTCGTGAGATGGGGGTCGTGAAAATGAGGTCAAATCACTGAAGAAAATGAAATGCGTGAGATAAAAATGCGCGAGGAGGTGACAGTATACGCAGACCCATCAGTTACAGTTACAGCTTTCGAACCACGTATAAATTGCGGTGATTTGGGTTTGCAGACTGTTTTGTATGATGTGTGAGTAGTGTGACCCCGGACTCAGAACGTGGCGCGTTCTTCTATACTTCTGTAGGTTTGTTTAAATGTATTATATCTTATACAGACGGTGATATTTATCGGCTTTTTTTGCAATTCTTTTTTTAATATTTTGTTTGTGAACTATTATACATTTTAAATCCCAGATCTTAGCAAAACTTAGGCACCAGAGGAACCCAGTCTGCTTTTCTTTTTTTTTTATCTCAAAATAAAATGAAAAAAAAAATGTCCGGTCGACAACTTTATTATTGAAAGAATTAAGTGTGTTTTGTGTGTGTGTGTCTTTTCTTAAAGTTGCCTGGACCAATGTAGCAGCCAATGAATTTACCTTAATAATTCTTTTTGGAACCACATTTTATTACGGGTATGAACTTGTTAATAGACCCTTTTCAAAAGTCGGCGCCAACACCTGTCCGCCGTTGCTTGTTCACATACCCTGAGCGTGTATTGGACACGACTGCTGACGTCAGCGTTCGGCATCCACTCGGATCCAATCACACGCTTCGTGTCCAAGCTGCGTTTTGAGACTTCATTATATTTGTCCCTTTCTTTTTTTTAATTTTGTTTTCCTGTCTCGTTTTTTTTAAGTATGAACTGATTAGTTGGCTATTGTATCTTCTTCTACTGAATTCAATTTAAATAAAATTAAATGCCAATATATAGAGAGCAGACGGGGTGCGTAAAAATATTAATTTCAACCTTTTCTCAAATATGTGTTTTCTATCACTATTTCGCCATTCGACATTGATCGCCATTCATTCCACAATTAATGGTGGTGTTTTTCTAATCTCTAAAACAAAAAAAAAACAAAAAAAAGAAAAAAAGATTAGGATATTAAATATTCCACATGGTAACTCCATATGATAACATCTACACGGGGTTGCCAGATGACTCCATCTCTTAATAACAAAAAGCATTGCTAGAGCAAAGCTTACTGTTTTTCTTGCTTTTTCTTGGTGCATCGGCTATATCGTGTTTAGCGTGGGGTTCCTATTGTAAACTTTTCTTTGTGTGGAATATTAAGTCTCACAAAACACCTAAATATTTAGATCCCACTAAGTGAGCATCTAGGTCTCTCTTTTACATTTTCTAAATACGTCGTCTTTATGTAACATATACCCTCGCGCATTTCCGTGTAGAGATCGGTGCTTAAAACTCCAAGAAACGTCGTCAAGTCCAAACGATTATGTGCAAAACGTCGAAGAAACGTAAGAAAAAAAGAATACGAACAGTATCATTCCTAAAGTCATCCATTTTGCGATTCTTTCACAAAAATTGACCGAGGAATGAAAATCCTGCTTCACTGGATACTAGACTTGCTCTTGACTCCTTCACAAACTCCGGTTAAGCAGTTGCTAGCCCTGCGGAATTTAGTCTTTTTTTTAAACAAACATACAAAAGCCAAGCAATACGGCAGCATATATTTAACGAAAATGCTAAGCCGCGCTCGATTTTTTCTTCGCGTTTCCCGCAGATCCTCGCCAGTGGGACAGCAGTGACATCCGCGCCTGGCTCTCGTGGGTGAGCGCCAAGTTCGGCCTGTCCCGGCTGGACGACACCAGGTTCCCGGACAACGGACCGGCGCTGTGCGCCCTCACGCTGTCCGACTTCAGGGAACGCACCGACGTCCGGTCCGCGGACATCCTCAACACCTTTCTGGCCTCCAGGAAGCTCGGTGAGCCTGCCTATCTTCGCGTGCGATCATTCACGATAGACACGCTTTCATGCTGTCATGCGGCGCCGTATCACTCTCGAAGAACGCACCTTAGAAACCGACGTGTTCTTCTATGCCTCTGTCTGTTTGTTGAATTTTATTTAATTGTATTTAATTATTTGTACTTAAAGAATTGTTTTAATTTATTTACTTTAATGTTTTTGTGGAACAGACGTTCTATTATAGTTACGAACTTCTTAATCGTAGCAAGGCTAACTTTTAAATATTATCCCTCTAACGGCAGGTCTCCCGCCAGTATTATTTGTCATTACTAAAGGAGCCCTGCAACAGTATTCGCTTGGAAGGTTTTTTTTTTTTTTTTCACTTTACACGAGCTCACTTGCACTATTTGGAGCCAAGTATGCTCGCACGCAAAGCCACTCACCAAGAAACTCCTTTGTTGCGGTGTAATTTCAAAGACAAAATCGAGCATTTTCTTTCAATCTCTCCTTCGCAAAACTTGATGACGTAGCTGGGGGGGTCGCAGTATCTCTCAGTGACGATATTTGAATGCGGCACATAAATTGGACCCGAGCAATGCGTGAGCACTCAGTTCGGGTTCGTGATAATCATTAGCTCGGCAAGCATTCGGGTAGTGGCCCGTCTCCAGTCGCTGCAATGACGATAATAGCGGAACCATAACAATGTCTGGAATTCAGCGCGTGTCCCGTTCTTTGTCAACCCCAGCGCGTGGCTATGATCAACATTGGCACTAAATAATCCGCTCCAGATCACGTGACCGTTTGTTCTGGCTCCGAGTTGAGGGGGTGAACGCTGGTCGTGTTTCTCTAAGTTTTTCTTCGGCTTCTATTGCGTGTGGTGCAAAATGAACGCGTGTTTCATCGGTCATTAACGTCAGAGATTTGTTCTAAGCGGTATATTCGCAAAGTACAAAAGTCTTTGCATCGCTTCTTTTAAAATAACTCTGCATATTTCTCAGCACCTGAGTTTCTAACCAAAGGAAAGTCTAAGAAGTTATTTTAATTACTGAGGACAAATCATATATGCCCTCGGTTTTGTGAGCTCACAGAAATCACAAGTAATATAATTTTTTCCATGTTCCTGTAAAAATTGACGTCTTTTCGTAAGGTTGATATGGTAGAAAAAATAGGCAATCTCGGCATTCAGATTCAGTACGTGTAAGTGTATACCGAAAGTGATTCATCACATTCTTTCTAACTCGAGCACACAACGCGAGGCATCATCTATTCCTTCGGCTCGTTCAACCACGAAAGCCATCTCTGACAGGTTTTATAAGCATTTTGTGGAAGCGAATGAAGGAGGCCAGCTCCGATACAAGGCGGGCTGTCCATTTTTATTGCCTCGCAGCGACTGCTCGTCCTCGCCGTGAATAGGTCCGCGTCGAAGAGCGCGGTCCGACGCAAAGCCCCGACCACGGGCTGGAAGAGGCCGCAGTTGCGCTCCCGCGGACCGCTGTAACCCGGGAACACGCGCCGCACCGATGCGCATCTGGTCACCGCGGGAAATTTACAAGCCAATCCACGTTTCAGATGCCGGCCTCATCAAAGCGCCCGCGCTGGACCCTCCATTCAGCCCGGACAGCGCCGATGCCAGAGCAGCTGAAGAAGGTGAGTTTGCCGCACGAATTGAACGTCCTTCTTCTGTCGGTCCCTTCCGAGTTGTTGGGGCTTTCGCCGATAGATTCTCGACGACGAAAGGCAGAGTGTCCAGATAGCCAGAACAAGTGGATTGTGTGTGCGGCAGGAGCGAACGATCCCCTCGCGTCCCTTGTGGCGATCAATTGCGTTTAGGCCGAAGCGAGAAGGGAAACAGGCCGAGCTCCAGGTAAGGTACGAGGGTCGTATATCGTTCGACGTGTATCGTCGCTGTTGATGGGCTTCTGTGGAAGTACCTATCAGTGATTGGCTAGAAAACGCTATCAGGGCAGTGTTATTCTGCTGAGCTTCGGGTTTTTGGGGTGAACTCGGAAATTTAGCTTCAGTAAGAGACACGCGTGGGGAATGAAGTTATGTGTTGGGGCACTTATATACGTACGTGGTAATAGGCACTGTGTTGAGGAGTGTGCGTAGCTCACTCGTATTGGTGTAGGCCACAAAATCTGCCCTTCCCAAAATGTGTGCCTTACAGATTTATCAGTAGTCCCATTACTTGTTTCTATAAGGGCGCTTCCGTTCGTACTAGAATAACATAAATGTACTGTGACGCGACTGTGCAAGCCACCGTAATTGCCTAGACTGGGAATTTCGACCTATCATAAGTAGAAGAACTGGGTGTCGTATCCAAGCAGGCGCACATAGACCCTGAAACTGGGGTCTGGACAAAATTTGAGCTATCCCTTACAAACAAATTATATCTGGCCAGATCTGAAGATTTCAGATATCGCCATATCAAAAATTGGCCACATATAACCTGATATGGTATATCTGCCAGATATAGCCTCATAATGCCAGATACAGTCTGATATCCCTGGCCAGGTATGGAAATCCCAGATCTGGCTAAGTATGGAAATTCCAGATCTGGCCAGGCATATCAAAAGGACACGAGCCTGAAATCAGCACTGCATATTTTTTTATTGTCTACAATTCACCCAAGTGCCCCGGCCCGCACTCGAGGAATTATGGGACGGTGATCCTTCAGCTCCCTAGAGATCGCTAATTTTGACCAATGCCATGGTTACACAGTTCCGAGTGTAATTCGTAGTCACCCTAAACAAGCGTCCCATAGGGGCCAAGGACCTGTCATATCACTTTTAAAATTTCTCGTCAATGGCAGCGTTTATGATACTGTGCATTCGATCCACCTTTTAACTTGGCTGATCCGCAGAAATCTCTTACCATATTATCATTCTCGTGATTGTTGTTTTCGCAGGAATTACTTAAAAGTCGAAAAGATCACAACAACCGAAACCGGGATTTACCTCGGATTGAGCGGAGCTGCTTATATCATTTGTAGCGTTCCTAACTTAATATCAGCGTATTTGAAGCTGTACGAGAATGATAATAATGTAAGAGATATGTCTGCAGCTCATCCAGGTTGAAGGTTGGACGGAATGCACAGTACTGACATTGGCGAGAAAGTTTAAAAGTGATATGACAGGTACTTGGGTTCTAATTGACACGTGTTCAGGGTGACTCCGAATTACACTCAAAACTGTGTAACCATAAATTGGTCGAAATTTCCAATCACTAGGCAGCTGAAGTAACACCGTCCCTATAATTGCTCGAGTACAGGCCGAGGCGCTTGGGGGATTTAGCAAATTGTCTTTTCGGGCGTAATGTTAACACTTCAAAATAAGTAAGCTACATTGAAATCCTCGGGAAAATTAGCACAAATAATCCTAAACTTAAGTTTGCCAGAGCTGAAGTTTAGGATTATTTGTGCTAATATTTAGCTCGCGAACAATGAATCATTCAGAGTTTGCTAACAAATCACTTTTTTTTAACTTTTTTTAAACTTTTTTATATATTGAAAACCGGCCGCCAGATAAAGCTTTATATACGCCAGATAACGAAGAATATACCTCAAATAAGGCCGTATATGCAAGATAAGTCTGTATATACGGCAGATTAGACTATATATTCCAGATAAGGCTTTATCTTCGCCAGATAAGGATGTATATACGCCAGATAAGGCTGTGTATACGCCAGATAAGGCTGTATATACGCCGGATAAGGCTGTATATACTCCAGATAAGGCTGTATATATGCCGTATATAATCATATAATGTTTGATATGGCCAGATATGCCCGAGATATAAAATGTTTCATACGGGATACGCTGCCGTTGCCACTAATGTGATCTTATGAACGGGCCTTCTTAACTATTATTTATGAATAACGTTCTTAAATTACGCTAGCTATAGAACGATGTATCATCTTCGAAATGAGTCTATCGGCGAATAATTGCGCTCTATTTTGAGCCCACTTATTCGATATTTGTTAGCTTTGATAGTTCAGAAAGATGTTTTTTCGTTAACTGTACTTTATATCATCAAATAGTTAACAAAGATGTATGTTACTTCACTATTTAAGTTTTATTTATTTCATAACCTCGAAGAGTTACCGAACATGTTCGTTTCTAATTAGTGATTGACTTGCTGTTATTTTGTATTTAGTTACAATGAATAGTTTTGTCAAATAATACAACTATGAACGTCCATAACTAGTGCAACCTTTTGTAAAAACCTGCCTTCTCCGACCACGGCTGCTCAATTCTCACACTTGTTGCGCTTACAAATGTTCCACTGCCCGCAGTCCGTGGCAACTCAGATTCCAGGCATGCTGACGGGCATAAAAGCACGAGAGTCACCCAGAAATAAAATAATGCGTCTCTGGTGCTCAACCCACTTATTAAGTGCCTAGAAAGTTTAGTAGGAGATTACACAGTCCCGCTCAATAAATTAATTGTGTTGAATTGAATGGCTGAAATCGGTATGACAACAAGAGCCGATAGGGCAAAACAACCACGATAGCATAAAATGACCGGAGACTGGGAGGAAAAGGAAGATGTTCATCATAGAATTAGCGAACACACCCGCATTTTTTTCGTCCAAGGTTTCAATGAGCAGAAGAAAAGAAAGGCTTTCAACGTTGAAAAAGAAGATGTCCACGTCCGGGTCACGATATGAGGCGCACATTTTGAAATTGTGGGCATCTTACCAAGGAAGTTAGACTATTAAGCGTTCCCATGTGGTTCTCAGTTTCAGTAATCAAGTTAGTCATATGTGCTCGAGTGGAGTTTGTATTTTTTACATCTGGGTGTACGCCGGTGCCTGCGTATTCAAACCCGCGTTATGTCTAAATTATTACAGCATGATTTGGGGCCTCAACAATTTACATTGTACGCCTTATTTCTTACACCAGATCCTCACTGTTACATTTCAGCGAGTTTAACTCATCACAGCTTACGATATTAAGGTGCTACGCTCACTTAATGACACCGCCACTTCATGGGGCATCGCGTCGTTTCTGTCCCCCAGCAGCTAGCATAGTCGACGGTCTCCATCTCTAGCCAGCGTACCAAACGGCCACTGATAAGCTCGACTAAATTCTCCCTGCATAAGACAAAAAGAAGAGAAAAAAGAAGAAGAAATACCGGAGCGGCTGAGCGGGGGTTGTGACCCCCCCACCTCCGTTCGATTCCGGCCTGGGGAGCGGGCTTTCGAGATCGGACCCGAAGCCAGAACGGCCTTTCGTCCAAGGCAGGCTGCGTGCTGCCGAGGAAACCGTTTTGCCAGCCATGTTTGCGTCGTTACTTCTTTCCTGCTGGCCCCCAGCGCTCAAAGGGGTTCGGGTCGCGATAACGGAGCGCGTGTGGAAGCGGCCGCTCGCTTCTTTGTTTTCGGGGGAGCGTGGCGGAGGGAGGGAGGGAGGCGATCGGGCGGGAGAGGATGGATGGCTGTGGCGGCCGATACGGGCCCGGGTCTGATGGCCGAGCAAAACGGGGCCCGAATTGCAGGAAGGAAGCTGTGGCCGCCGGGGCACTTTGCTCGCCGGCGGACCCCGGTCGGCCTCCTCGCGCGCCCCTTTGCTTTCCTCGTTAAAGGGGTCCTCTGCTTTTTGCTACTTTTTTTTTTCGTGGACTGGACCGTTTTGGCGCTGTTTGGGTACCGGTGAGTGTGTAAGTGACGGACCTTATTTCGATGTGCCCAGGTTATAAAGATGATGATTGTGTTAGGTGCCCAAAATATTTGACGGGAGTAACGGTTTTGTTAAGAAGGAATACGGCCCAAGGTTGCTGAATAAAAAGATGCATAAGAGACTTATGATGCAGAAGAGGTGGCTGTTCTGGCGATTCTGCTTTTGTTTTCTCTTTAGTCTAGGTATTTCTAGGAGTAAGCATGATTTCTTTCACGTGACAGCAATGAAGGCTTCGAGTTAAAAATATTTGAAGCCAATGATTAATACTTGAGTAACGTTAAATCATGGTACGACATCGTGAAGATAAGTTAAGGCTAAAAGCTAACCTAGTTAAGTTTTATTTTTCAGGCACGCAGAGAGGTCCGTCTAAATGTGGCGAAAAAACGTTTCATTCATATAATCATGGTCCACTTAGACCAAACACGAGCATGGGAAAGGTAACGGTATCTGACCGGGCCACGCAGGGTATTGCCTTTCTCAACGCTCCACACAGACGAGCTCGCCGAAGCACACCGTTCCTGGTTCATCGCAACCACGTCTCCCGTCAGAGAACCGCAGCGCTGATCCCATTTCATCCCGCATCACCATTCCGCGGTTAACCACCCTCGACGGTCCCGGCTCTAACGCCTCTCTAATGTCCATTTAACACGGGCGTCCCTTTCAGCCATGCTAAGAGCAGACGCTCGGCACACTAACGCATCCGTAATTTATGACTAATGTACCGCAGCTCGTCGAGGGAGTGCTGCCTCAACGGAGAAATCTCCCACCCCAACAGCAGCAACCCACCGGCCTCGTGGGTTATTAAAAGAAGAAGCGCCCTAGATAATCCTGACCGTATGCCGATTTTCGAACGTCGTTGTATAACCTTTTCCTCTCCTCCTCTCTTGGCGTACTCCACCCTCTATCTTTCTTTTTTCTTTTTTTTATGAAGGATTGTTTGGCGATTATGGTTGCTGCGTGCACGTGCT